CCCCAAAACCCCAAAACCCCAAAACCCCATGACCTAAAAATCTAAGGTATTGACAAGTAATTTTAATGTGTTTAAGCAATAATGACTTCAGATATGAATTTATTAAAGTTTAGTGAATGAGGGTATCAAAATTATAAGAATACAAAAATTTAATTACTCAATGTCAAGATAAGTATCCCCCACTTTCAAAAGGAAAGCGTATTCTCAAAGTTCTCATTCAAAGTAAAGATCTTTGCCAGATATTAATTATCCAAGAACATTGCAAAATCAAGATAATCTTAGACAACAAATCCCTTCAGTAGTTACTTCGATTGATTTCTCAAGCACTAAATAATAATTTAAATCGATTGATGCCTAATCTGTTATTAATGGAAACCAGGATAAGAATATTTAGTAATAACCACCAAGACACCCTAATACATTATAAATAAAATAGAGGAAAGTATGACTTAAGGTAAATCCTGGAGCTCCTCTTATGCCTAATTTGAATTTTAATAGTCCTAAAATAAATTCAATCCATCCTTCACCATTAAAGTTATCGACTGGAAGGCTTTCAGTAGGGAGTGCTCATAGCAAAAAAATAAGTTTTGATGAATATAATGAGATTCTTAACAAATAAAAGGGGGTAATTAAGCCTGTATATGCTAAAGCAGAAAATCTTTTAAAATCAATGAAAATAAAATCTAGCTTTAGAAGATCAGAAAGTGACGATAAATCCATTGAAACCCCTTAACTTGCTAAATATGATTCAGGAAAAAAAATAAAAAGCAAAAATAAATCAGTCAGATCTAAAAGTAAAAAGAGTAATAAGTCAAATAGTACTATTAAATCAACTAGGCTAATTGATCCAGATAAAGATAAAGATAAATTCAAAGAACTAGCATTGTGTGAGTCATGCCTTTAAAGGAAGTTGGACTATATTTAACTTGATTGTGTACATTACATGTGCTATAAATGCATTGATGATGCTCGATAAATGACTGGCTTAAATTCCGAATAAACAAACTAAATCATTACATGTATTGTCTGTGATATGAAGTAGGAGATTGATGTTATTGAACTATTAGCTTAAAAAGAAGAGGAAAAGTTTAAAAAGCTTAAGACTTTAAAATCTAATAGATAGACATTAAAAGAATTGGTTAAAGCATAGCGCCCAGATAAACCGCCTTCTATTAAGAGAAAAGACACTTAGAATGAAAAAGCTAAATAGGTTCTCAATGAACTCTTTAAACTATAAAAAAATAGTAAGAAATGTTAAACATGTCCTACAAAAACGCTATAGATGGCAAAGGACGGAGAGTACGAATGTCTAAATTGCAATTTTATCATGTGCACAGATTGTAAAAATAAGCATAAGAATCATGTGAGATTTAAAAATCATGCCATCATTGTTTATGTTGATGTTGAAACACATTAGTAAAAAGTTGAGAACGATAAATGCATATTTCATAAAGAGCAACTTAAGCTATTCTGTGTTACTTGTAGCTTTCCTTTGTGCATGCTTTGTGTTGAATTTGAATAAGATCATTAGTTTCATGAGATAAGAACGCTTAGTAAGATGCTTGAAGATGTCACAAAAAACAAAGAGTTAAAAAAGACTGAAATAAATGATAAACTTCTGCCTAAATTGAAAGGATATATAGATAAATATTAATAACTGGCCTCTAAACTTCAAAGTCAAAAATCTAAGACTTTATTTGACTTGAACAAATAATTTGATAAAATACAATGAGAAATTTATAAAAGGAAGTAAGAATTAGAGGCAAAGATAGAGTATACATTTAACGACAGTATTTAGATAGCTTAAGTAAAAATTTAAGCATTTAAAACTCTAGAACAAAGATTTCAATATCTAAAGACTTAGAATATGGATTATGATTTATTGGATATGAAAATGGTTAAGATAATGGATAAGACTCGATTGCTGTTAAAGAATGTTGATATGACTCTGGTTCACTTATTGGATTTAGAAGGTAGTATATTTGAATTAAGTCCTTTTGATAATATTTAAAGAAATCTTAAAAGAATAGATTATTTACCCATTTCTGGAAGAGACTTGGAAAAATTTCAAAAGTAGTTTTCTAAATCTAAAATTTTAAATATGAAGGAAAAACCAATGATAAACAAAGAGATGATTTCATTATTCCCAAGATTTAATTAAGCAAGCTTGATATTTAAACTTACAGAAGACGGTTTAGGAACTCGAGCTTTTCATAAAGCATGTGATAATAAAGGAGCAACTATAATGCTGGTGAAAGCTAATAAGCATTATATTTTTGGTGGCTTTAATCCTTAGAGTTATATGAGTGAAAATTTGTATCTTGAATGTGAAGATGCTTTTATTTTCTCATTAGCTAGAAAAGTATAAAATTACATTCTTCCAAATTAACAGCCTCATGAAGAATAATCCAACATAAGTTATGTCCCTATAAAATGCCCTGTAAGAAGTTCTAAGTTAGATAAAGCAATAAAACTCAATGAAGAGAACTTCTCTCCTGGATTTGGAGAAAGTGACATCAGTGACCTTTTTATTAGTTTTAAGAATCCAAAAAAGAGTTATAGTCTACTGGGAAATGTTTATAAGTTACCCTATGGAATGAAAGGTGATACATTTTTAGCTGGCAAAGCAACTGATTGGGATATTTAGGAAATTGAAATTTTTGCAGTTGGCTTTTGACGAGAAATGACGATTAAAGGAAAAAATTATGAAATATATACTAATTTGATGTTTTATTATCTATTTAATGAATTATGCTAGATAATAAAAATTGGAATAGGGGTTTTGGGGTTTTGGGGTTTTGGGG